GAGAATAACTTTCTTTTAACTCATTAAGAACGTAAAATGTAAAAACCTCATTATCAAGTGATGTTACCATAGCATCTGAAATGTTAGAAATATTAAATAAACCATATGATGAATCATCTTCACTTCTAATCATGCTTTATACTTCAGATGCTTTAAGAATCAAGAATATGAAGAATATGATGAAAATCAGACTATATGTATACTATTTATATGAATCATTGAAAGTGCATGGTAAATTATAAAATTGGATCTTTAATATACAGGGTCGAGATAACTGTTTTGACCCCTGTGAATGATAGTCAAAATACATGTAACCTTTCCACATACTTATTAGTTCAGTTCAATACATGCACATTTTTACTCAATAAGATTGAAACAACTATGGTTGTTACTTTTTTGTTAATTTAATATTCTTTTTATAATTGTCAAACAATGACGTTCACAGTAGCTGTCTCCAAAGCTGGATAATTTTGTTAATTCTGATCCAATTTTGAAGATTTGTTTCTTTAATGTTACTTATATCTTCCACTCATCAAATAAGGGACAAAACTATGCACACATTCTGTCATAAGGCCTCAGTTCTAATAGATATGTTGCTATACTAGGATATTCTGAACCAAAAATGGATTGATGACGTCACAATTAATGCAAATTAGCTAATGCAAACTAGCTAATTTGCATCACTGAATATTGTAACCATATAGTAAATTTAATAAGGTTTAATCAGATACCAATATCATCTCTATAGACCAAATAATGGCGAAGCTACATTGATTCAGGACTCCAAGGTAAGACGTAATGTATATTATTTTCAAATAATGACATTCACGATAGCTGCCTCGAAAGTTACATAACTTTCGTAATACTGATTCAATTTTGAATCTGTTTTCACTTTTATGTTGCTTATACCTTCTACTAATAGAAAAAAGGACAAAACCTTTCAGAAATTTTGCCATACGGCCTCAGTTCTAATAGATTCGTTGCTATAGTTGGAAATTCTGAACCAAAAATAGATTGATGACGTCATAATTTATGCAAATTAGATAATTTGCATAATTGAATATCAGAAATTTATTGCAAATTTAACGAGGTTTAATTTGGTACCAATATCATTTCTATAGACCAAATAATGACAGAGGTACAAATGATTTAAGATACCAAGGTAAGATGTCTAAAGATGCGTAACCATGGTAACTGAATGCCACCATAAAAGTACTATGGGACATTAGTTGGCAATGTTAACAAATGAATTCATTAAAAAAACACCCTAGGGATTACAAAAATGTATGTAACTTATTCACACCTTATGGGTGCATGGGAACCCCTTGTTCCTACTATACTACGCGGCACTGAGACAGCATGTGCTCATGATTGTTCACGTGATCACATCCTGCAATTTGATTGGACATCATATAATGGGGAATCCCTGAATACGATAGAATATGAACGAATTATGGAAGCTACTCACTACTACTGGATCGAACAAAAAATAATCAATTAAAGACGCTGGTTTGTTTTACCTCCCTGTTTACCTCCCATTCTTTTTATTACTCTAGTAACCATACCAATTTATTGTCCTCGACATGTTTAATAAATAAATCAAAATTGTTTAAAAATTTATAAATGTATTGGGGTGCGAAACAAGGATCCTTTAAAATGGCAATATTAGTAACAAAATTCAAATTCTCTTTTTAATCAACTAGCTATAGAAAAACAAGAACTCCTCAGAATCCCACCTGTAGGACAAGACATAATTTATCAAATCACTCATCATTTTGAATATGTTCATATAAAATCTCTGATACACAGAATATGTTTAGCAGAATATATACATCTTTATTATTTCATACATAGTTCTATTCAAGATGGCAAACGTCGTTTGAGTATAATCATTCCAATGTATGTATATTTGGGAAATATTACATCGAAATTGTTATGTCTAATTAATTGAATATTGATAAGTTATCGTAAAAAGGCCCTCAGGCATATTGTATTTTATCATAGACTTTTGCAATAAATGTTCTAATACTTTGCATTATTTCCAGACAGCATATAGGAGTCACTAGGCCTATCCTCATAAGCATCACCCGACAAATTGATCAGGTCACTCAGTTTTTTCTCGTTCAGAAAAAACACGTGACTAGAATAGATACACCGTTGCTCATATATCATGTACATCTGAAATATTTGACAAAAAGCAGCATGCTTATTTAACTGTATATAGCATTTAAAAAGTCAAATTGCATGAATGTGTGCAAAAATTATTTCTTCTTAAATGTTAAGCTAGGAATGTAACTCGAGGAAATTCTTATTCGTCGCGAGGATGCGCTCTCTTACCAGAATATTCCCCAAATCTTATGTGGATGGATGTATATACCTAGTACACTATATTGTCATGTTAACATGATGATAACATAATTCGACTTATTATCCCACCGAACGAAGTTCGTGAAGGATATAGAGAAGCCGTCCCTATGTTTGTCTGTTCGTTCGTTCGCTCGTCTGTCCTAACCGAATACCGGTTTATGAATTTGGTTAAAGTTTGATGGGTTTATGCCTCATGGATGCCGACCTCTGCCCGAGAAGAAATTTTTAATATGACCGCTGCTATTGCTTAATTAAAATGTACGCTATTTTCTTAACACGTAATCTTTTCAGTCATATACAAGTCGACATATCTAGTTCAAAGGACGAGTGTCTATAAGACCATATATTAGCCCCCAAGATATTTAGAAGAAATTGTACAGGATATCAAAGAAAGGACTTTTTGATAACCAGGTTCAAAAATTAGGTCATTCTAGCCTTTATACATGTAGTTCAAAATATAGGTCATTCTATTAACATGTATAAAATACCTTTTGAAGGAAAAATCACTCTTTTAATGTCACTGTTTCTATTTATTTTCAAAATAATCATCATTTACAGTAATTTAAGACTTTATTAATTGATCCTCTTGGTATTATCTTACATAATAGTGACAAAGCATAATGGGCAACATTCGAAAACACATAAAATATAACAAGTCAAAAATGCAAAAATTACTGAATAGTGATCTTCTTTATACTTTATTGAGTATTTTAAAATCAATTGTCTACATAAAAGTTTGCAAAAATGTGTCAGAAAAGAATATTGAGTTTTTTTAATTAACATCACAATGAGAAAGAACAAGGGGTAACATGAAAAAAACATGAAGTAATTAAAACGTCAAAAAATGCATATCAATCAATTATATTATTGATCTGGTTTCTTGAGAGCAATAGCTCATATAGTTTGCATTAGTTTGCATTAGTGGCTGTGAAATACTGAATTTATTATTTCACACAAAATATAACAATTTCTAAAAGGTTACTCCGGACTTTACATAAATGTATATATACACTCCCCTCCATAAGTTCGGATGGATGGATATTCTGTCATATGACCATGACTTGCGGCAAACCTATAATTTCTAATTGGTTAACATGGGAATGTCGAAAATTCATCAAAATCATCAATTTTAGACTTATTTAAATTGAGGAAAAATTTGGAGGTATTGGAAATAAAGTCAAATTACGTTTCCATCAATAGTATAAGTATTTTCATCGTAGGTTAAGTAAATAAAAATTTAAAGGTAAAGAGGCTTTAACACGTAGTTCAATGGGGGGAGCTAAGGTTGCCAAACTTATGGGTTTCAATTTGATTAAATTGCTCATTTGAAAACAGGTAGCACCCTCCAATGATGAAAGGCGCCATCTCATAGAACTTTACAGTAAAACCAAAGTTTAATATGTGATAGGGTCAGCTCTCTTCTTTTGACAACTACTACTACTTTAATAATTTAAGACGGTTACTTATATCTTCGATTATGACTATTTTCGACCATGAAGATAAGCATATCTTTTAGATCCATTCATTATCTCAAAGAAAATATGCACAATGATTCTTAAGTATTTAGGATGCAGTCAACTCAACATACTTTTTTATCAGCTCATTTTTATCAAAAACATGGTCTTGCATACGTTGCATACAGTGCTTGGAGAATAAATGGATCTAAAGGATACACCTGCAATGACCTTCGATAGCAAGTCGCCACTACAGTCTCAGCTGTAGTGGCTAACCTTTATGGATCAGGGGTAGAGCGTCTGACTACGGGGCATTGACTTTAGCACACTCTCTTTCAAGTCTAGTATCTGGCTGGGTACACTACAGCTCCCCGACTGACGTTCCAAATATATGATCAGCAGTGAAGTTAGCAATAGAGGCTAATATATCATCTTGTCGATTTTAAGTTGTTTTGAATTGCGTGCTTCAATTTAAGATAGGCGTGTCATCCAAGTTCAAACGTCGGATCGATCATACACTGAACAATGTGAACCATATCCTACTGTCTCTCCCATTAGATTTCCATTCTATTGGTTTTAAGACCCGATCGCGATGAAAAAACATATTAAACATTGTGTCAAAAGAGTACCAGGCCAATTTGAAGTGATCTCATACAATGGTTTTCAAGAAAGGAATTGAACGAGTGATTTGATGACCTCGTATAACTACTAAATATTAGGCAAATATGACCTTCGGAGGGACAATTCAATCTTTGGAAAATCAAATCGACAATGACTTACTCCATCTTTTAAATGAACGCTAAAATATTGTTGTTAATAAGCATCCATTTAAATTATTCAGATTTTATTGTACTTAACCCGTTTTACAACTCACGTGAAGTTGTTTGCTTTGACGAGGAAACGAGGTTAAAAAGAATATGCACACCCAATAGCTTTATACTTACCTATTCAGAACATTTTTATGAGTCGCATTCTACTGTATAAAATACATACACCTTAACAAGTAACTTAGAATATATAATTCAAAACCTTTTGAAAAGGGATTAAAATAGAACTAAGTTTTTAGCCTAATAGAAAATATAAGAGCAATGTTTATGAAACTTCACCGCATGCAGTTTGAATAGCCATTAACTCCAAGATACATTCATCGACCATCTTCAAAGTTATTACGATTCTTAGATGTCTTCTACCAACGACGAATGGTTGACTGGTAAGTTTTTTCTCGTATCATCTCTGTAATTAACGATAAACGAATCCATAAACAATAAATTTAACAGAGACTAATTAAACCAAGGGAACTACATAGTAAGGTAACTTTGAATTCAATACAAGGGTGTGCCCTTTACTTCCATTTCTCTAAGATTATATGTGATTATAAATATTAAGCTACACTCGTCGCCATACGTTTCGAAAATGTTTGAATTCTTAATTTTGTTCCTTAATTACAATTGTTCGGAAATATATACAGATTTGATGACACATAACGCCATTCACGATTAAAACGCTTAATTGGCACTACCCAATGATGATATAAAACTAAGATCAATAGAACAATCCTTGAATATATCAAATATGTCAAAAATTGTAAGCAAATATATGCAATTCTGATTTGCTGTTTCCGCATCAAAGATTTCTTTAGTAAGGCATTTTCATATTCCACATAAGTTACAAAATATTATTTTTACTACAGTATTTTTCATTGAATTTGTTATGTCGGTAACACATAAATTAACTATTTTAAACTTAACTAAAACTATATAATAATTCAAGGAGTAATAGAATCACTAACTCGATTTATTTTGGCCATTACATTAAACTATTCATATTTTAGGTAAACCCTGTATAATTCAAAGTCTGAAATTCCTCAAAGGTGCATCATATGTTTTCCTTTCACTACGTTAAAAGAAATGTAGATGCTTAAAGTTGAATTGAAGTCTGTTGACACTACACCAGTGCACATAAAAATGTAAATAGAATATTGATCACTTTACAAAAACTGGTATATTTTCAAACATATCACTTTCAATATTTCAATTTGACTGGAGAACGAGGCATTGTGACATTTTACAATAAATTTTACAATAAAATGTCAAGATATATTTGTAAAATTGTCGAAGTTAACATCTCTATTAAAGGGGCAATAAGGACTGTAGAGAAAATAGGAAAGTTTTTTCATTTTTTCTGAGCTATCAAGGTAACATTTGGTTTAACATCTTCTTTGACATACCTATTTTCTTAAAATGTATGGATAAATTATCAATTTTAGCATTAGGAAGTGTAAATTCAGTTCAAAGCTTCAAAAAGGGGACTTCCACTTTTATATTTTTAAGATCCACCACGTTTCAAGAGGAATATCAGCTAATATAATGTTTATCTAGGGGGTTTCTTTGTAGATAATAAAAATAGATGTTAGTCTTGATGAAATATCCAAACTTAAATATGTTTTGACACTGGTTCATGATCGTTAAATGACCCCTCTGCACTAATTATTGCACCTTTAAAATGGAGTATTGAAAAGCTCTATTCATTTTGACAGCAGTGCATTATTTGTCAGATTCATAAAAACTCGTGAACATTCCATTAAGAATGGGTATCAATATGGTGAACTTTTTGAAAACACGTTTCTCTTAAACCAGTCATCAAAACATTCTGAAAATTTTACACATTGCCAATGCAATGGTCATCTTTTGAATGGTAATAATATAGTTTGAAGTAAATATGTGTACTTTTCTCTATATTGTTTTAGAAAACACACCAGAGACTTCTTTTGTACTTGGTATCATATGTTCGGAATGAAATGAAACATCTATTCGAACCTCATTGAAACAAAATGACATAAACACAACGTTTTTAAGTCTCCCAATATTGTAATTGTACAAAGGAAAGTTTGGTTGATTTAAAAAAGTATCTTGTTAATGAAATTAAAGGGTTATCTTAACTTTTTCTATTTTGGGGGTTTTGGTTTTAATTTTTTGAATACTTTTTCTGAAATCAACCAACATTTCCTTTATGTAACTATAATATTGAGAGGTATAAAAAATGTTGTATTTGCTATTTTGTTCCAACAAGCTTCGGAAATATATTTTATTTCATTCTCAACAAACTGGTATATTTTCAAACATATCACTTTCAATATTTCAATTTGACTGGAGAACGAGGCATTGTGACATTTTACAATAAATTTTACAATAAAATGTCAAGATATATTTGTAAAATTGTCGAAGTTAACATCTCTATTAAAGGGGCAATAAGGACTGTAGAGAAAATAGGAAAGTTTTTTCATTTTTTCTGAGCTATCAAGGTAACATTTGGTTTAACATCTTCTTTGACATACCTATTTTCTTAAAATGTATGGATAAATTATCAATTTTAGCATTAGGAAGTGTAAATTCAGTTCAAAGCTTCAAAAAGGGGACTTCCACTTTTATATTTTTAAGATCCACCACGTTTCAAGAGGAATATCAGCTAATATAATGTTTATCTAGGGGGTTTCTTTGTAGATAATAAAAATAGATGTTAGTCTTGATGAAATATCCAAACTTAAATATGTTTTGACACTGGTTCATGATCGTTAAATGACCCCTCTGCACTAATTATTGCACCTTTAAAATGGAGTATTGAAAAGCTCTATTCATTTTGACAGCAGTGCATTATTTGTCAGATTCATAAAAACTCGTGAACATTCCATTAAGAATGGGTATCAATATGGTGAACTTTTTGAAAACACGTTTCTCTTAAACCAGTCATCAAAACATTCTGAAAATTTTACACATTGCCAATGCAATGGTCATCTTTTGAATGGTAATAATATAGTTTGAAGTAAATATGTGTACTTTTCTCTATATTGTTTTAGAAAACACACCAGAGACTTCTTTTGTACTTGGTATCATATGTTCGGAATGAAATGAAACATCTATTCGAACCTCATTGAAACAAAATGACATAAACACAACGTTTTTAAGTCTCCCAATATTGTAATTGTACAAAGGAAAGTTTGGTTGATTTAAAAAAGTATCTTGTTAATGAAATTAAAGGGTTATCTTAACTTTTTCTATTTTGGGGGTTTTGGTTTTAATTTTTTGAATACTTTTTCTGAAATCAACCAACATTTCCTTTATGTAACTATAATATTGAGAGGTATAAAAAATGTTGTATTTGCTATTTTGTTCCAACAAGCTTCGGAAATATATTTTATTTCATTCTCAACAATTGGTAAAAAGGAACAAAAAAATTGCACTATGAAACAAAAAAATATTAACAAAACAGTTAAATAAAATATATATAAATAATTTTCGCATTAACTTGTTGTCAGTCAGTCAACATTACATAAAGGACTGTGTTTTTACAGAATGTTTTCTGTAATTGGTTTAAGAGAAAAATATTGTTGAATTCAGTTCACCATATCAATCCTTACGAGTAAAATTATATTTAAATTTTATGGAATCATCGGCTACCACACGTAGGAAATTGTGAAGAAGGTCTGACTTCGTTTCATACATATATGTTACCACTACCATTGTCAAAATTAGACAGAACATACACACAAAACAGATAAACGGAAAAAGAAATACTCAGAGAAAAATCGAAAAGCACAACCAGTAGCAAGGAAAGCGAAACGTAATCACCATTTTACACGTTCGCTGTTCCTGTTCCTGTTTTTCAAGAGGTTGCTCATAGTCACCTCCCTAATATCGAAAGACTCCCTTCAAATTCAACTGCTTTGTTTGTATTTATTCCATAATTAATCCATTTCTTTATTTATATTTCTAGAGGTGATCGACGGGGGTCTGTCTCGACGAGAATGGATTCTAATTGGGTGCCTAGGGGGCGCTGTGTTTATATGTCTCATTGTGATTCTAGTGCTGCTAATAATTATGGCTAGGAGAAGACCTAGGAACAACAGGTTAGTACTCTTAAAACATATGATATTACTGTTGAAAAAAGTATGTCACACATAAAAGTCTTGTCCTTACTCAAACACGTCAAAGAATTGGTTTGTTTAATTCAGTGTTTACAAATTAAACCAGTGATATGTAAAATGGATTCAAAAGGATTGAAAGGAAAATTGTACAAAAATAAAATATGTTGCAATCAAACTGTTTTTCATTTTTGCCATTTTTCCATTTTATTATTTTGTAATTTACATCTTAACCCATTAATTATTTTCCAGAAACACTCTAGCATTTAGCTTCATGTGATAAATGATGAGTAGTCTTGGGGATGGGATGTCTAGGGTATAAGTTGTGTAGGGGAAAGTTGTCCAGGGAATGAGTTGTCTAGGGGATGAGTTGTCCAGTGTTGAGTTGTCTAGGGGAAGGGGATAATTTGTCTGTAAACCATTTTGGTTATATTCAATTGGTAAATATGAATATAGTAAAACATATCACCAAGACACCATTCCAAATATCTTTCAAATTGTTCATGATTTTGAACATGAGATAATCATAGACAGGTGTTTATCGGCAACATTCAGTTTCCCTACACAAGCGAATTCGAAGTATCTTACCTCTTTAACAATGCAAAAGGACAATGAATTAAACTGCCCACTTCACCACCTCCTTAATTGTATCCATAAAATCGCATTATTCTAAAACATCAGTAAAATAGAGGTGATCTATTCAATAAAGTTTATTGTCGTTTGATATCACGAATTTCATGTATTTGATTTTTCAAACTTGAACACTCTTTCAAAGTGAACACATAACCTGGGATTTTGTAATTATGTGTTCTCTAACGATTTTCTTTTTAAAGACGTGTGCGGAGAGATTCATCTATTGCGTGAGTCAAACTTGTGTATCATATTGTAGGGCGTGTAGTTGAATTCAAACAGGATTAACTCCCATGATTCGATGACGTTCGAAGGCTTGTTTACTCAAACTCAAATTGAAGAAAATGTTTTTCTTTAATGGTCAAAATGCAGATCTCCTAAAATCTCATTAAAACGAGACTTTAACGAGATTTCAAAGCTGTGTGGAAAAGACTCTATTACATAACATGATATGAATAATGTTTGTTACTCAACAAGTCTATTCCTGACAATAGAAAAAGTATCGTAGAATCATGGGAACTGCCAATGCTGCTTGATTTGAAATTTCAAAGGAATAATCTATAGATTTTGTAGTTGTTACACACTGGTCGCAATTTACTAACATATCTAGTTTTACATACATTAATTCATGGGAAATGCCTTTGGTTGTTAACTTATGAAAGGACTGTGATATTACTGTTTGTGTCGCCACAACAAGCGTTGACATATTGGTATTGTATTGTCTCCAACCTTTTTGTGGACAGCCGTTGGTTTTCGGCGATTGGCGTCTGTAACAAATGGCAGGTTGTGGCATTTCGCATGTTACTGCCTTGTTTAGATTTGAGCTATCTGTAGGCTATCCGTCCTGAATTCTTTAGCGTGCCGCTTTTTACAATCATGGCAAGATTAACCGTAAATTATTTTCGCTAATTTTAGCGAAATAATAACTCGTCATACGGTATGGTATATGCTAGGAGGCATATTACTTTCATTGCTCCCATTATCGTATATGTTTTGACACACTTTGGATTTCACTTGTTATTGCTCGCCTCACTGCTACGCTTCACATGGCATGGTTGCAACTGGTATGTAGATAGCATCAATAGCACTTTATGAATGCTCCATCGCACGCTTTCTTCACTGATTTGTAATTCATACTTATTAAAAAGACAGATACGACAAAATTAACTCATAAAGAGGACTACATGTAAAAAAGGTTTCATTGTGATTTAAAGTTGAATTTCACCTGATTAATTCTCTAATTACATTTTGCATTTTGTAAATAATTTGAAAAATAAAAAAATATTTTGAAGTTATTGAATCTGAGAACCAAATGTACTTAAGAATTATACAATCAATCATCATTGTAGTCCTTGTAGCCTTGCTTAAGTTGGTGTTTGTTCTTTCTTTTCTTTTAGAACACCAACGGTGGTATATCAAGATAAGTAAAAGAAAATACCGTCTTAGGCAAGGATATAGTCCTTGTAGATTGCAGTTCAAACTTAGGTCATTTCATATTTTTCGATGAAAATCAATTGTAGAATTTCGACTGCATTCCAAATAAGAATCATAATTCTTATAGATGACAGAACCATCAAAAAATATCACTCTTCTCTCTATACCATCTTTGGAATTTCTTCTCGAAAAACTTTACCTTTAACTCTTTATTGGTGTAATACATTTCTCACTTAGTGAAGTTATCAAAGTAGATTCAACAATTAACTCACATATCATTTAAGTTTTGCAATAATCTTCTACAATAATACCAAGCGTTGTAAACAAGAAATAAATAAGATACAAGGTGGGCCAGAAATGTCCATATTTCTATTTCGATATAACTTGTTTTGAAAATGAATGAATTTCAATTAATTTTTTACAAGATATGCATGAATCAATTCTACAATTGTTCCGGAAATGGGATAAATGAATCTCTAGGGGTCTTAGAAAAATGAAGGTAAACAGACACAGGGTGTCTGTTTGAAAAAATCCAGATTGCAATGCGTTTACGATGAGATCAGTCATGCTTCAAATAACAGTACAAGATTGACATCTTATCTTATAAACTTTGGGTAAAATATGTCTTAAACAACAAGTTCCTAATGTGTGGGCTCAATCAAGCACCATAATGATCTTCCTTGCCACAGATGAGATTTAAAAATAGCTTTCCCCGTACAGACAGATTTTCCCAAACCTCAGCTTTTTCTGATGCTGAATCAGTTTTACTTCATCTTACTTATCTATCTTGTGATAATTCTAATAATCCATTTTTGTCTCGAAATGGTTTCAGAATATATTTAACACTCTTCCCCAAGTGTTTCTCTGACATACTGAATAATATGCTAATCTGGCACTTTGATTGAGGAATGACTAAAATCACTATAAAAGTTGCTGCGAATAACAACCATAAATTTGGATTTTTTTAAACATGCCCCCAGTGTCTGTTTATCGTTATTATCAAAAAGAAACAGAGATTCATTTATTCTATTTTAGGGACAATTTTAAAATTGATTTCTTCATATCCTGCGAAATTTTCAGTACAATCCATGCCTGCATTTTCAAAATTATATCGAAATAATGTATATGGACGTATGTTGGTCAACCTGTACATTCTGGTCTCACTCCCTAATTTTTCATATTGTTCCCGACACTGGAATTGATTGAATTTGTTAATTATAATACAACAATTAGTAAAGATCTCGTCATTGTTTAGAACAATCCCATAAGATTTAAAAATGTTTTTCATTTTTCAATTTATCATTTTTACAAATCTTTGCCTCATAATTTTCTTGACAAACCAAAAGTGATCTAAGTGAACTGCTATCAAACAATCTTACCTGATTCCTAAATATAAAATATACTTATTAATTAATCTTGCACACTGTGTCTGGTCCTTCTCATTCACTGTCTCCACCAGAGCAACACGTTTTTATTATTGTTGGGGAAGGGGCTCTAAAAGGGGAAATAGACTAATAGAGGGAGAATGTTAGAAAACAATCGGGAAGAGGTTGGAAATAAGTACGACGAATTAGTAAGAAATGGTTGAATAAGTGAAAATGGGCAACCCCAGATTGAAAATTAGGACGAAGAACTTGTTGCAAGATTAGTTAATTCCACGTCGCTCTGCAAACACTAGTTACTGCATGCTTGTAGAGGGAGTTCTGATTATGGTCCACATGAGAAACATCTCCAGACTATATCTGCACCAACTTACGGCCATGAAGATTTCATAATTGATACAAAAGAGAATAGGCTTCGGAGGATCCCGTATAAAAAAGGTTACGACAGGTAAAGTCGACTGCAAGGAGTCAGTGACCTTTAAGTGTCTTTTATACGCCGTGGATCATTTTAGTTAGAGATCCCAGAACACAATTGTATCTATCTTTCTGAAATCTTGTTTAGTACGCCAAGACTAGTATTCCTTAAATCCCAGGTTTGTTCTTCTTACGTTTTTTTAAAGGGAGATGAGGTGAATTCATCAGATTGCATGCAGTCAATGATATTGCATGAAGTTATTTTGATTTATCCATTGACAATTTTCTTCGAGAAGAAATAAAAGTGATAACGATCAGTGAGAAATCAATTGTAGAACGTAATGATGGTTAGCAAGCAATGATTAATTTAGCAAGCAATGATTGATTTATATAGCCTATTTAATTTGATAATAATTTGATAGCATGATTAAAATGTATACTTTGCACCCCCTCGACCGTCTATTCTACTGGGGGAAAGGCCAACCAAGCACCACATGTCCGCTTGGTGCCAGTTGTGTTCTATATTTCATTTGGGAATCCACCTACAGTTTTTGAAAACGATAAAGAAAAAATCACATTCAAATGTTTCTTAAATCTTCAGAGATACCCACGAATTTGATGAAAATATACATGCTTGGGATCATAAGGGAATGTATCCGGACAAACACCGGAAAGACAGGCACCAAGGAGACAGACACCGTGACGATAGACACCATGGAGATAGACACTATGAAGATAATAAACATCATGGAGAGAGGAACCACCGTGATCGCGAATATCATTCCAACGGGCATGTGAACCACGTATCAAACGATTATGGGCTCGCACACTATCCACCACAGCCCTCTGGTGGTCGATATGTAGAACGAAGGTGAGTAGAAACCTCGAGGGAGTACATTGGATTTTTTACATTAAATCTCTTCTCTTGCATCACAATACTGTCTAACCGTAATATTTTAGAGTATCAGACACTGTTAATACATTTGCTTCACCTTCTGTAGAGTAGACCCACAATGGGAAAATACCTTCTTCCAGTGACAGAACTAGCTTCTCTCATACGGTAAGGTTATAATGGTGCTTTTTGTATCAGTTCAGCAGCAGCTTACATATATACAATACCTACAGAATTAAATTAGTATATACAGGGTGTTCCATATGTTTCAGGAATGATGCTGTATTTTATTGGTTTTCTTTTCAAACTATCTGAATTTTTGACACAATGTGTGTAAACATGTTTTGAATAAGTTGAAAAAGTTTCATATCGTGAAGTTTAATAGTCTTAATTATATGGTTGCTATAGTAACCTCAGGGTAGGGTAGGTGGAGCAGGTGTAACAACGCGCAAAATATATGAAATATTTGTAAAAATTGTTTTTTTTTGTACGAAGTGTGACTAAGTATTAGATTGTCAGAGTTGGACCAAATTTGTCAGTAATTAAACATAAAAAATGAAGGTGGATTCAAAGAAAGTAAAAAATGGCATCACCCTTGATCACATCACAATTTAAACCCCTGTCATATCATGAGTCACAAAGGAGAATAAACACAGGTCATTTTGGACGAGCGGCCATCTTGAAAAGTGAAAAAGTCATTAGCAAAGGGAAATCTTCGACTTAGGCAACACACAACAATCTGTGACAAGATATGACATGTGTGAATAACAGTTTTCTGCAGCAGACACAATTAAACTCCCGACGAATGTACATGGGGACTCAATGATGGTAACCTCTAGAGTGTATGAGTGGTACAAGCGGTTCAAATCTGGAAGGGAAACTGAGACCGATTATTCAAAATGTGGATTTCCGAGAACAGTGAGAGTGCTAACTAATGTGGAAGGGATAGATGCTGAAATAATGATGATGGCTAATAAAGGGTGTGATAACATTTTTAGTTTCCAGGAATCCACCTTTATTCTTTTAAATTTCCAACAAGTTTGATGCGACAATGACAAATTAATACTTTGAACACTTTATACAAAAACTACTATTTTTACAAAAATGTCATGTTTTGCGCATTGTTACACCTGCTCCACCTACCCTACCCCTAGGTTACTATAGCAACCATATTATTCAGTCTACTGAGTTTCATGATATGAAACTTTCCCAACTTATTCATAACATATTTGGACACATTTTGTAAAAAAATCAGCTAGATTGAATAGAAAACCAATAAAATACAGCATCATTCCTGAAACATATGGAACACCCTGTATATATACATGTATTCAAAGAGGGGGATTATACATACAGGGCGTTCCAAAAATTGAATCATTCGCAAAGCTATGGCTATGCCTCACTCAATTCAATACTTGCACCATTCACACTAATCTCTCTCCGATGTAGGCAGTAATAGAATAGACGCAAGTAGAAATAATCCAGATTTGTATCAGTACCAATGTACAGTACCAGTATATACAGTACAAGTATGGTTAATATCAAAAATTAAGTTAAAGTGAAATTGTATTTGAAATCTACATCTTAGAATATGTTTTAACAATTTTATTTTAAAAAGTGATTTCTAGGTCATTTTATTTTACATATTTTTGTTGTACAATTATCAATTTGGGTTATGGGAACTTTTCTCTTTATCTACCATTGAATGACGTGTTATCTGACCCAAATTAGCCACCTGGTGATGACAGTTGTAACTACCTACTGGCATCTTGGTAATTCTTATTTTGGATCACTCTGAATACTCCACCTTCAGCATTTTCTTATTGTCGTCTCCAACAACTGCCTCGTCGTTTCTGTTTGTACGGCCAGTTTGCTAATCAGCAATACCTTGCACCTGATTATCAGCTGATTAAGACCATTCGGGGATAACTCATTCAAACTAAAAAATATGTTGTATAGTTGCCCATTGTTGGAAAAGTTTCGTCTCTCCAAAATGTAACCACATTTCTAGAAAATTAAAGTTATATAGTCTATATCATTTTTTTTTTTTTTTTTTTTTTTATTCCAAAATAATAGAAAGTACAATTTTCCCCAAAGAATGGATAGTGGGGTTACAAATAAAGGTTTGCCTAAGACTGCGGCATGAACACCTCATTCTTTTAATTTTTGTATATATGATTTAATATTTTTAATTTCATAGGTTGACTTTTCATAAATACATAGGTGTGCGATTGAATAATATAATGTGTTCCTCCATGATCTTGGACTATTTTTTTCTTTGCTAATGAGCCATGATTTATAGCTGTTATATGCAAATGTTGATATTATTAGATCAATGACATTTTCATGACTTCTTTTAAAAATAATATTATTGCCAATTTATTATTTATATTTATTTTTATTTAGACATATGCTTTTAGAACAGCAGCACCCTAACATTTAAATGCTAGGTGCGTCTACATATACAAAATCACATACTATTAAACATTTAATTAGAAATTGCTAAAATCATACAGTTCTTGGTTTAAAAATTTTGACTAAAAACTGCTTGACAATTTTGTCAAGACTAGAATTAATATCATGCCCCCATTCCACATTATCACCAAGCATGGTCGTTAACTTTTGATCATTACTTGATGCAAGCAGTGTTGCACAAAGATCACTAGAGGCATATGTATTAACATTACTATAAAAAACAGATCTTTCCTTGGTAAAAAAGGGACACAATAATAATCTATGATGCATTGTATCTTTCACTTCAAGTGTGCACAATTTACATATTCCATCACTCTTATCCCATTTTTCATAGTTTGTTTCTAAACAAAAGTTGTTACTTCTTGCTAAAAACTTTAGTCTCGCACCATAAAAATCTAGATCATTTTTCAAGTAGTTCTCTAGTTTGTAGTCAGATTTCACATTTTTGTAGATGTAAAGAGAATCATGATTTGAGATGCTCTCATGAAACTTTTCTAATCTTTGTGCTTTAGATATGTCTAAAAATGAGGAAAACCAATCGCAATCGTTTCTGTAAATAACATCATCTAAGCCCTTATCTGTAACACTTTTATGTATATTGGATATAAATTTCCAGTATGACTCTTTACCTTCCTTATAACATTGTAGTAATGACCTTAAAACTTTGTGAGGGAGAGAAGATGTAGGTAAATCATAATTGAGATAATTAAAATACTCTAGTTGTCTTTTTTCCAAAATGTCACACAATGGTTTCCATCCTAGATCACCTAGTAATGCTTCTCTTGCTGGCTTACTTTTAATTTGAAAAACTGCTTGACCTGCGGAGTATTGGAATGCATTAATTTTGGATTTGGCTGACTTAGAAAGAACCCATGTGGGGCAACCATGTAAGAGCGCAGGCATTACCATTGAATTAAATATGGTACTTCCAAAATCAAATCTTTTAACATTACAGTGTTTTGCCAATGTCATGGTTATGTAATTTTTCATATTCTTCGCTTTCTTTTCAATATACTTAATGTGGGATGTTTCTTTTAAAGATCTGTTGAACATTACACCCAGATATTTATATTCATTGACTTCAGGAAGTAAAAGCTTTCCCAAATGCCACTTTTTCTTTCGATCAATTCGTTTTCCAATTATCATTACTTTTGACTTTTTTTCACTGAATTGCATACCCCACTTAAGCCCAAAATCATTTGTAATAGAAAGCATTTTCTGTAATTCCATTTCTGTCTGGGCCATAAGGACAATATCATCTGCATATAAGAGACATGGGATTTTAGAGTTATTATATGGCAAGCCCAGAGTGGACATATTAAGACTATCTACAAGGTCAGTCATTACTATGGAAAAAAGGGTGGGAGATAAAATACAGCCCTGTTTAACACCAGATGGTGTGTCAAAATATTCAGTGCTATATTGACCAAAAATAACTTTGTTTGTGGAATTTGAGTATAAGGATTTTAACATTCGCCATGTCTTTCCCTGTATTCCCTTTTCCCAAAGTTTAACAAAAAGGAGATCGCGGTCTAGAACATCAAAAGCTTTCGAGATATCAATAAAGGCAAGATAAGAATTGAGCTTTTTATCTTTTCTTAGGCTACAAAGCCCCTTAAGGGTAAAAATGTGGTTCTCGAGTCTTTTCCCTTTTTGGTAAGCACCCTGAAGGTCACCAAGAATGTTATTGTCTCTTAGAAAATTCATAATCTGAACTTCAAGTATTCCTGAAAAGAGTTTATAGACATTGGAAGTAATTGTGATTCCACGGTAGTTATTAAACACTTCAGGGTCACCCTCTTTATATAAAGGCTTTATGATACCACATTGCCATTCATCTGGAATATGTTCATGCATTTTGATGAGGTTAAAAAGGTCCGAAAGTGGTTGGGCAATGATAGTTTTCCCTTTTTTAAGAAACTCATTAGGAATCTGGTCAACACCCATCGCTTTACCATTGGCAAGCTCTGATATTTGTGTTGAAATTAGAGTAGGATCAATGTTTATTGTGGTCATTGCATTAGCATCAAAATTAATATTAGTCCCTAATTCTTTTACTCTTTCGGCTGCATTGTTTGGGGGAGACATTGGATTTCTATATTTTGACCCTACATTCTGCCAATATTGTTTTAGAGCATCATTAACCTTTTTGGGATCTGTTATCACATTATCAGGGTCGTCTGGATCTTTCATTCTAATAGGGAAATTACTTTTTGCATTGAATTTTTTAAGGGTTTTCCAATAGCTTTTTGAGGATTTGGAGCTTTTATGAGCATTACAAGTAATAAGTTTGATATGATTTTTTACCCTGTTTTCATTAATTTTAGTGGTAACTTGCTTTTTTAGGTCTTGGTAGATTTCCCAGAGTTCTTTAATAACAGCAGGGTCAGCCGACTCTGATTTCTGCCAAAGCCTATGAAAGTGACTTGCATCTTTTCTATTTTTGATCAACTGCTTTAGTTCTAAATCCCAGAAATCCCTACAATTATTTGAAATTTGCTTTAACCCAATTGAAGTTTTTCCAGCATTAATTAATTTTGACTTGAAAGAATGCCAAATAGACTCAACGTCATAATGGTTGTCTAATGACCAGGATTTGAACTCATCACTCAAGGCTAATTGAAATGAATCCCAATTGGTGTCATCCTTAATATCCCAACGGGTGTATGAACTAGGAACAGTTTTACTCTGTAAGGGTTTGTGTTCATGTATAATGTTACCCTTGATAATAATGACATTATGATCGCTTCCTATTGAAACATCCTTAGATTCATCAATCACCATGTTATCAAAACAGTTAGAAAGAAAATGTTCATTAGCTAAAACATAATCAATAGTAGACACTTGTTCATTACGTGACCATGTTATCTCACCATGGCACCTATCAGAGCAATTTAGGACGTGCATATTGGAAACCTCGTTGAACATTTGTAAAAGATCACCATTTGGGCTCGAAAAATTGGCCTTTCTGAAAAAAGGCAGTCTTCCATTGAAATCACCCATGATTAAGATATTACTGTTATCATTAATGGATGAAATATTATGTGTGAGCTCATCAAATAAAGATTGGGATGTTTCCATGTCCCGACCATCACAAGGGAAGTATACTGAGCAAACATGGAATATTTGGTTTCCCATTTTAAGTTTCAACCAATAACGCTCATATTCATCATCTTTAGAATCAAAATGGTTGTCATCAAGTAAGATTATACTTTTGTGAATTAGAAACCCAACTCCACCACCTTTTTTACCATGTCTGTCTTTACCCTTCCAAATATAGTCATCATTTATTATGGTTGGGGTGTTAGTATCACTGAAAAATGTTTCTGTGAGTGCAAACAGGTCATAATTATGATCGCGAAGAATTTGGTTGAGTTGGATTTGTTTCGCCACGCCGAACCGTTGGGCATTATTATAGGCGAATTTAAAAGATATGTTTTTACGTTTGCGCTTTCTTTGACCTCCTCGTCGATGCGAACGCTTTTTAAGATTATATGATTCACGGTTACGGTAATGACGAGTATGCTTATCATTGTGGAATGAGGGTATGGCTGTGACATAGCCCAAAACCTAGTATTTATTTGAAAAATTGTCATTAAGTGATGGGCATCTGGTTTGCTTGTGCCCTAATTGGTTACAAATATAACACCTCACGGACTGAGGATGCCAACAAGCACTGGCCAAGTGGCTGCTTTCTCCACATTTAAAGCAAGCTGTGGCATTTCCAGATCTGTTTGGTGTTATGTTGGACCTATTATTTGGAAGAGAGTTTGTGCCATTGTTAGGATGGTTTTTATTCCTATTATGGTTAACAGTCTGCCAGCCATCCGAGTTTGGTTGGGTCTGTTTGCGGAGATTAGGGCGTGGCCTTGTAATGTCCTCAAATTTCCTATCAAGTTGCATATTTTGGGCCAATTTGTTAGAACCTGCATAAGTCAGATGGAGACCTCTGTTATCAAGATAGCCATCATTGATGGAGCCATCCTGTAAACGGAATGTTTTATCGTTATTGATGAAATTGAGCTTCTCATCAGCATCGCACAAAGAGTCAAGTTCTGCATTCACGGCTGCTAAAACGTCCTGTGCGGATTTCTTGTCAGTGCGGGGGATAATACTGGAGACATGGACTTCATCACATATAGTTTTGGCACCAGTGACCATTAGCTTGTATTCATTGACGATTGGTTCAGGCTTGGCATCTTTTTGGGAGGCATCGTTACTCGCTACTTGTAGAATGATACGCTTGTAAGGTTTTGGTCCTGGTTTATTCAGTTTCGATAAATGTTCATGGACGTCTTTGATTTTGCCCCCGCTTATACATTTCACCTCAGTGTTATTGAGCTTGTTCTCATCAAAGTCTCTTATTATTGAGCTTCCTATTACTAGTGTCTTATCGGATTCATTACTATTCTGTGATTTCAAGGAGGTGAGATGCTTGCGAAGATGTATACATTCATCATTTAGATCTTTGCATTGTGATGTTTTTGCTGCCAATTGAGACACCAAATCAGCATTGGTCGTTTGCATAGCATTAAGGTTGATTTTCATTATTTCCATAGAGTCTTTCAAGTCCACGGTGGTATTCGAAAGATCATCAATTTTGTCAGTTAAATTTGAGATGGTATTCACTAGGCGTTCAAGTTTGTTGTCGTCGATTGGTATTTTCACTGATGATTTAGTCTTTCTTGGTCTGCCTCTGGTTTTAATCCTAGTTTGAGATTGCAGTGTTTTTGGAGTTTTTGGAGAAGTAACAGCAGCTATTCGATTCATAAGTCTGGTTTTTCGGATGGTTTTTGGTGATGTTTCTTGAGTTCTAGTACTGTTCTGATCATTAAGGGTGTCATTGGAGTCATTTGTTGGAGTTGAGTCAATAACAATATTTTTCCATGAAATTTTGATTTTTAATTTTGAAGAAATATAGATCCACAAGTCTTTTATTTGATCGCACTCTATAATAATGTGTTTTAAATTATTTTCAACCTTACAAAAATTGCAAATTTTTGAATCTGCTTTTTTCCACTTAAAAAGATCTATGGAAGATGGAAGAACATTATGAAATAATTTGAAGTTAAAGTAAGCTACTTTTTTATCAACAATTGCTATAATCTTGTTATTAAAATACATTTTCCAATTTATGTGAAATTTAAAATCAATCTTCCATTTATCTTTAGTGTACATTCTTTCTTTATTATGATATTCAAGGATATTATAGAAAAACTTAGATTTTTGATCTTTGAAGAATACTTTTTTATCATTTGTGTAAAAAAATTGTCCTTTCATAATGTTTACAAACTTAGCAATTTTTGGTTTCATCATTTTTTCGAAAGGTTGCAGTATTTTCCTGGCTAAAGATATTTCTGAAATCCAGTTTCTCTTGTCTTTTAATTTTCCTAAAATATGTTCCTCTTTAAGTAAATTGCCATTCACATCTATAATATCCTTTACATAAAGAATATCACTTTTAATCCAAGATTTAAAAAACAGACACTCTCCATTATTTTTCTTAAACAAATAGTTTCCAAAAATTGATTCTTGACAGAGTTTGTCATGATTTATAGCTACAGTATTCCCTCTGTCTTTACATTTATTGAAACCTAATAATATTTCTTGATAAAATTTAGGGATACTTAATAAAAGTGGCATTTCTTTAGCAGAATTAAAATTCATTCTAAGGAGTATTTCATTATTCGATGTTATTTTATTAAAATTCCACAGGGGTAAAATATTCCACTGATTTTTTTCACCAGGATGGAAAATTCTATCTATCCAAGATGCTTTTAAAGCACTGAATTGATTTTCGATATTAATCATATTCACACCTCCTTCTGTAATATCTTTATATAGTATATTTCTTTTAATCCGGTCTTTGCCATTCCAAATAAAATTAAATAGTATTGTGTTTATTTTTAAAATCATATCTTTTGGAATTGGAAGAATAGATGCACTATAAATAAGTTTTGGGAGTGCAAGTGACTTTATTATTAATGTTTTTCCAAAAATGGTTAAATCTCTTCTTTTCCATTTTTCTAAATAAGTTTGCATACCTTCAATTTTTTCATCCCAATTTTTCATCTTACATTGATTGTTGTCATATCCAATATAAATGCCAAGATATTTTATGGGTTCAGATTTGAACTGTATATTTTGAAATTTGCCATTTTTATCACTCCATTTACCAAGCCCTATTGCCTCAGTTTTATCTAAATTTAGCTTCATTCCAGAGACAGTGCAAAACATATTTATTTTCTTTATGGCATTCTTTATGGAATGCTCATCTGCAAGGAAAAGTGTGCAATCATCTGCATATAATGCTGTTTTAATTTCAAATTGGTCCTCATTTAATTTGATATTAATTCCACGGATGTTTTCACTTTTTTTAATACTTAAATTTAACATTTCCATTGAAATGATGAAAAGTAGGGCAGACAATGGACAACCTTGCTTAATTCCCCTGCTCATGTGTACTTCTTCAGTTAACCACCCATTATGTTTAATGACAATTGAGGGATTTGAGTATATCATTTTTACCCATCTTATGAAGTCATTCCCAAAGTTAAGTTTTTTAAGTGTTAATAGCATAAAATTCCACTCTATTGAATCAAAAGCTTTCTCAAAATCAGTTAGTACTATAGCGCCATCTTTATTTGTGATCTTACAATATTCTAAAACATCTATTGCTAGTCTACAGTTATTTCCTATGAATCTTTTTTTAATATATGCACTTTGTTCTTTACCTATAATTTTACCTATCACTTTATGGAGTCTGTTTGATAAAATAAATGCTAAAACTTTATAATCCGTATTTGTGAGGCTAATTGGCCTATAATTTTTTAAAAGGTTAGAGTCCCCTTTTTTATAAAGTAATGCTATGATTGCCTTTCTGTAAGAGGGTGGTAGCTCACCATAAACAAAACATTCATTAAGTGAACCTAAAATTAAATTAGAAATATCATCCCAAAATTCTTTGTAAAAGTTAGAGGTTAGGCCATCTATTCCTGGAGATTTGTCCAACTTCAGTTGGCATTTTACTGAATTCAATTCACTTATGTTTATTTCACCATCACAAAGAGCTTTTTCATTTAATGTAAGAATATGTGGTACCTCAAGAGAATTTAAATAATTATTAATATCATTATCACAAATGTTTTTAGAAGCATATAGGCTTGAATAAAATTTGCACAGTTCCTTCATTATATCAGAATCACTAGTAACAGTGCTAGTCTCTGTCTTGACCTCAGTTATAACATTGTTTCTCTGCTTTGTTTTCTCAAGTCCGAGGAAATATTTGGTGTTTTTTTCATTTTTTTCAATGAAGTCTAATTTTGCCCTTAATTTTGCACCTTGGGCTTGTTCTTCCAAATCCTTTTTAACTTGTGATTGTAATTTTATAATTTCACTTTTCTGAGATTCATTTGGTGTAACTAGCCTTTCAAGACAAATAAGTTTATTTTCATTTTCTATCCTTTTACATGCTTTTATTTTAGATCTTTCAATTGAGTATCTTATTGAAAATTCTTTTACTTTCACTTTTACAAGTTCCCATTGCATTCTTTTAGATTTTATTTCTGAGTTTCTTAATTCAGTTATGATCTTTTTAATCCCTATCTTGTATTCATGTTCTTTTATTATTTCTGAATTCAATTTCCAATAACCAGGCCCTTTTTTATTCCTAATTTTGCAAACTTGAATAAGTAATGCTCTATGGTCTGAAAGTGGACAATACATATTTTTTATGCTTAAATCATAATCTATATATATATATAGTCTATATCATGGTTTTGGGATATCTGGGGTTTGTTTTTTCTTGTCTCGTATGCACTTAGCATTTGCTTTTCTTGCTAAGTTCCATTACAACTTTTGGTCCTTTCCCCTTGGCACTTGTGCTTAGATATATATAGATATTCATATCTTTAAAGTAATTTTATGGCGTTTTAAAACATCCAAAATACCAACATAAAAAATCAGTGGCTATTGAATGTGTTTTAATTCGTCATTGTTGTTGTTTCCTAGTTTTTCTGATTTTTAAGATTATCAAACTACCTAACATATTCTTAGTTTTATAGAGAAATGTGATATAAAATTTGATATCTTAGAGGATATTTAGTATTCTAGTTTGTTTTGTACAGGGTGGGCCAAAAACCAGCACCCACGTTTAAGGATGAATGTCATATGATATAACGTTAAATCATGCCATGTATTGTATATCACTTTAACGATACATCATTTCATAACATTATGTCACCATCTGATTGAAAAACCGTTGTTTTCTAGCGGAGATGGAGGCTAAAATTGACACCAGGGATGTCATGAGCGACCAGAATATTATACAGGGTGTCAAAAAACAACGGCACCCCCCTCTCCAGCAAAAAGTCCTGAATGTTCCATATTGTGTCATACATCATTTGAAAGATAATTCAATTCTGGAGTTACTCCTCAAATTTCATTTATAAAAACTTTATATTAAAAAAGCTACATTGTTTTTAAGTTTGCTACTTTGGTACTTTATTTGCGGCTCTGTTACTGGTTAAAGGTCAAATCTTCAGAAAGTGGAATATGAAAGAATTAGCTCAGATTTCAACTGCACTGAACATATGGGTTCAGTTCTGAAAAACAGGGTATAGGAACTGATGGACGAAGAGCCTCTTGAAAAAAGATACAGTGAGGATGTATTTCTGAAGAATTTGAGGAAAGTGCTTAGAGGATTATGTAATGCTACACCTTTATCTGAATTTTCATTGAAATCATATCCATCCAGATAAGCTGCTGTTTGAGCAGCAACTGGCGGTCATACAAACTACTAAGATTCAGCTGTAAATCTGTAAAATTACATGATATAAAGCTGATATTTCTTAGGTAACTCCAGAATTAAATTGTCTTTAAAATGACATATGACACACCATGTAACATTGAGTACTTTTTGCTGTAGAGGGGGGGTGCCGTTGTTTTTTGACACCCTGTACACTGCGGATTTCCAAATTGTTGAAAATGGAGGGAAATTTGAACTTTGTATACAAGTATAGTGCGAAATTCAGCAATAATACTTATATATTTTTAATTGTCATTTTTTGAATTTTGGTCGCTCAAGGTACCTCTAGTGTCACGAGAAAACAAAGGTTTTTAATTTCAATGGTGTCATTTTGTTGGGAAATTCAATTCAATTTCAATTAAATTTATTGCTTATAACATATATAGTTTACATAATTAGACATAGTAGGTGGCATCATTTTCAGACGCTTATGAGAAATGATTTGTCTTTAAAATGATATATAATACATGGCATGGTTTAACATATATCATATGATGATTTTGGCCCACCCTGTATATAGCAAATAATATTTAAATGATATTTCTATTTCCAGGTATGACGACTATGTACCACGGGTTCATACGCAATACTATTAGAGCAACATCTTAAAAACCAGCAATACTACTAAAACAATATTAAATACGATAAATAAATACCATAGTAGCAATATAAGATTTAGAAATGATGGAATAGAAGACTTATGTACTGATGAAACAAAAATATGAACATATACAAAAAATGTTAAGAATGAGCTCTTCACCTTGTAAAGTGGTGTCCTTAACTTACCTCAATCATGATGTACACTTCGTCTGGATTCACGAAATAAGCAATACCATATTATTCAAATATACTTGTATGGACTTCATATACACTCGTTCACAAAGGATATAAAAACTTGGTCACGTTTAGAATAATGTTATTTTGACATTATTTTAAACAGATTAACTGGATATGCGACTTTGTATATAGTTTAGATACAAATATACATTTATTCAGATACAAAATTTAGCAAACAAACGTTTTCATTTTTCAATAATGTAGGTATCGAGTGTTTAATGGGTTGTATTTTTGTCTAACCCTGGTTATATGTCACCCTAGTTTTATGAATCAAAATTTTATGTAGCTTCATTTACCATAAATGCTGCTGATGATTTTTTGCTTTGATTTAGTTGGATTACATATAGTTTTAATTTGTAAACAGCACAACTATTAATTAATATAATATATTGTTTTTTTTATTGAACAAAGAAGATTATTTACAGAAACAACATTTGTTTGTTGAGGTAAAATATCTATATGTATTTGTCTCAGCTTATGTGTAAAATCAAGGTATTATAAAACAAGAATTAACAATGCACTATAAATATATACATATTCATGTATGTTGCTCACATTCGTTAATGTTTTTTCATTTCATAGTTAGTATTCGGAGTTACCATTATACTGCCATGCCTATTACTACCACATTATTGAGACTTTTGAAACAGTAAAAAATTGGTAAACTATTGAATAAAGGAACAAATTTAAATATATTAACATTGTGTACATTTACGATACATATAATATATCATGGAGAAAGGGACGAATCGGAATCACTGTACAGTTTTTTTTGTTATGAATGCATGTATTAATTCCAAAATGATTTTTTTTACATTTTATGTTCAATAAATAATTAGATCTACACTAATTTAATGCAAATGTACAAATAGGCATATACAAGAAACAACGCCTCAACAACATCCCAAAATGTTATCCAACGCAAACAGCAATATCGTCCAACGCTAATATTTTTTTTATCAAAATCAGAACCAGACAAATCAGAACCCAAAACCGAATGACCATGGAACACTTCATTTATACGAAAGTCATAACAAAACACATTGGAAAGTTGATTGAACTAGAAACCCAAAACATTTGAGAATTTTAAAACGCATACACGATGGAACATAGAACTTTCAAGTTGTTGCAGCGTAAAGTTGACGTTTGCTATTGCATCCCCCATTCCATGTCCAGTTCACTCAGGTGCTTTTTCATAAATACATAGATTCATTATAAGAATAAAACACCAGTAATTGGTAACTAAATGATATTCCTCGATACATTTTTTGATAAATCCACAATCATTGTGAATCAGAGTGAATAATTAGTTACTAGACTAGTACTATTCATGATCCCTGTATTTACATCTTCAAAAGAATCAAAATGTATCTTTATGATTTGTATTCATCTCAACCATTTTTGACTCACACATTAAGATGTAACGAATAGCACAGCATGGCACATTTCATCAACTTAAACATTTCGTATATCATACTTTAGACTACACATGTTCATGATTCACAATAGCCTTGTATAGAGGTCCACTGTTGACCCCCCCTTATCTACTTCACCAATGCAACAATTGCAGGGAGGTGTGGCTAGGTTTACATTATGACTTTTTTTTACACATTCCACATATTTAATTTCCATGGAGTTCCACATCTCACAAAAAACAATTGTGTCATTATTAAAAAAATCTCTATAATATTTACATAATAACATCTCTTCCACGTAAGAGAGATGAAAAAATGAGACATTTAAACATAAGCGCCATATTTCAACAATCAATTCATCAACATGGATTTCTGATTGTATTAATTGTTCACGGTGAGTCATACTCTAACTGTCACGATACAAATATGACATCTACAGTTTATAACATCTACCTTTTTTGTAAGATTGTCGCTAAAATCTAGTATTATTCTACTATATTGTATTTTACCCTAACATCTCTTAGTACATAAAATTGCTTTTGAGACAGTACGAATATCCGGGTCTCACGTCGATATCCGGGTTTCATCCGTCCCCAAATGCAGAAAGCTTATTGCGTTAATATGTTATCATCAGTCCAGTGATTGAACACAAAGAGTTGAAGCAATTTGAGAGTGTTCAGTGACGTGTTCAATATTCATCCCCTAGTAGAAAGTATCCCTGAAAAGCAAGGTATATAGATGTTTCAGTACAATGACAAATGAAAAAAAACTAAATCAGATATTAATTTAAGAATCATGCATAAAGAAATAAGCACTCAACATCCCGACCAAAACGTAGGCTAAAAACACCATACACTACACCTTACCATTACCTGCCCTTACTACTAAAGTATCAGTGTTTTGAATCCGACATTACGTACATATCTTAAATAATTATATCATATGATTCACTATTATGATGCAAAATCACAGATGGTAAGATTTGTAATCAAAACAATACAACCCTAAAAACAAAGATTGCAGGAATCATGTATAAGCATATCCATGATACAAGAAGTACTTTAGGCAAAGTATGATATTAAGCAATGTTTATGTGCAAGCAACTCTTTTATATGAGGGATTCTGGATTTACAATGCAAGTCACTTCCTTGAAGCGTCCTTCAAAAATTGGTTTGACGTTATAAGTCCCAGTAGACAAAAAAGTCTTGTAATCAATGGATTGTGGACAAATTGATTTATTTGAGTCGACAATCGTCACTGTAATTTTTTAACACATCATTCTGAGCATTTTTCTCTTTCAAATATACACAGGTTGCGTTTTGAACAGTGATGGTAATGCAATTTTCTTTTCAAGATGTGTTGGACAAAAATATAAACATAACTGTATTTTGAATATGTTCAATTAAGAATGATATATAGATGTTACAAATAGGATTCGTGATAAGGAAGTACAGGTGAATTTATTTGCCCTTGATGGTGACATAATAATATCAAATTCAAACATGTTTGTTGAAGTCATTTTGATCGATGAACACAAATTAAATGTAGATCTGTTTACAGTTCAGGATTTGTGGGTGTTTTTGAAGTGATGTACTGTCTAAGTGTTAAACAATAACTATAAATCATAAACAGAGAAAGTCTAGATATAAAGGGAATATTCAAAGTAAAACAAATACAAAGGGGAGTTATGCTAAGTCGCTGTGGTACTATAAGGTCACGTTATACTAGAAACTAGACTCAATACCATTTACTGAGATGTAAGTGATAATTGATATAGTTTGAACACTTACGCATTTGTGTAATAACTTGGAGTTGGATATCTAAACCAAATAAAAATAAATCCATTATTAACATTCAGCAATTTCAACATTCGTTTGACATACACGTATTTCAAGTAAGATGGTAGTATCTAAAGCAAATTACTTTCGAAAATATATTAATATAATCTGAAAGTATTTATAGTAGCCGTGACAGATCAAATTTCACTCTTAATTTTTTAAAATAACCTTTCAATAAATTCAATATATTATAAATTGTAACCGCGGGGAGAGAAAAGAGGGAAGACCAAAGCATTATTATGAATAACAGAATGCCAAAATAAGGAGCGTAAAAAAGTCCAAAATATCCCAAATTCAATGTGTGTCCAGTTGCCAAGTAAACCAAATATTTCCAAGAACTGAAATTAAAAGTTTTATCAAAGTGATCAGTCACGTCTACTATAATATGTAGTATCATTTGCATTGACAAATTTTTAGATGACATCACTTTATTTATTCAATTTAATATTTTCAATCATTCTACAACAAAATAACACAGCACCTCTAATACCAAAGCTTTATAATTATAATACCTGTAATCGTGAGTCTTTTGATGGGACGTTATAGGTCTAGGTATAGTAAACATACTACTGATTTCTGAGGATCTGAAAGCCATCTATTTATTTAGTATCATCATTAATCAATTAAATGCGCTATATATCCATATAAGCAAGCAGCATTTGTATATAGACTATAAGCTTTTGGAGATCAATTTATCTAAATTAATTTGGGCAACTATAATTTATATTCAATTGGTTATCTGTTGATTTATGAATATGTATTGCCTATGAACAGCATGCACCAATGTGTATATACTTAGTCCAGTGATTGCAAATGTAATCTGATTTTTTAATTGAATTCCTAAAAAAATTTCAATATTTTAAAGAAAAATATTATCTGGGTTTTAGGTTCCTTCCATGTCCACCGGGCGTTCAGAACTAGATGGATCATAATGCGCATGCGTAGAAGAATCGTAGTTATGAGGTCCCATTACCGTTAATTCTAAATGCTATTTACCTAGGTCTGTCGTAGCCAGGAGGGAAGCCAGTGTTTGTTGGAGCAACTATACGGTCTGTCATGGGAACTTGCTCCCTGTAATCGCGAAACAACAAATTATAGGTTACCTTTCACAATTCTCTTGACATCGTTGCAAGTTCACTAAAGAATGGAATGGTCCAAAACCGCCCTCTGAGAACTACATAGTTGTGGAAATCATTTGAGATGTATATGTATCCTTATTACGTGTTGATATCATACCTGTATATGTGTTCATGATGTACGTTAAAAATTTCTTCGAAGATGTCAATAGATGGCAGTGGATTGCACATTATACATTATATAGGCTTTAATAGAACAGCAATAAAATATCAGAATCATAAATTTGAATATTAAATTTATACTACTTTACAAGAGGTAATTAATCCATGTGATTAATTTGCCGAATAGTCTAATTTTATCATTTTCTTAATTTCAATTTTCCTCAAGACAAGAAACTCCCCATTGGATAACATTATGAAGATAATATTTCCGACATTTAAATTTCCGAACCTGGCAAAAATTAGGCAGATTGAAAATGATTAGTTAAAATTACCACTCATACAGTAATCTCATATATGTACTGGCTATTTACATTCAAAACAGCTTGGCAGTAATGCCACAAGTGATATGACATGTTACATAGTTCAGAATAATGTAAAACCGCATCATATTATACATCTTTTCATTAAAATTGAGAACTGAAAATTGTCATTGTTTTCATTGTTTGGAGCTTTGAATAACTTTCCAAATAAACTCGCAATAACATGCTGAAAGTTTAAGCAATATTCAAATGGGACCCAGTGTTATTATTTATTGAACATCCTGTAAAGGAATAAAATCAAATAAAAAATGTTATATAGTACTACTCACACATAACTGTTTGCAGGTGTAATGATAGGTCTACGAATTACTTCCTCGACCCATTGGATATCCTGTGGTTGTCTTGCAACTTGATGTCTTGGCTGATCGTCATGCCTAAAGAAAGTATTCTTCAATGCAATTTTCTTAAATGTATGATTTCATGTGTCCACGGTTCTCTAACTATGACGTCACTATATTCATGGTCTTAATGGATATGCTTTCAGAAATGACCTCCATGAGTGGCTGGTTTCTACATACGGGCTTTCGGGTTAACAATGTACATGGATTATATTTTCAAGGGCTTTTTTCTTTATGTACAAAATAAACGTCAAATCGCTTGATTTTGTACATTACCTACAGGAAATGTAAAAACTGCACTTAAAGTGATACGTTATTGGCAATAAAATACACACGTACTTTTAGTAATGTACTCAATTAACTTAAGAAATATATATCAACCCAAAGGTCTGAAAAAGAACTAGGTAATCTTATGATTCTAGATTTCACGTTATTATATTATCAAAATAATGTGTAACAAGTAGTTGTAGCAGTTTTAATTTGTCTATTAAATTTACATGTAGTATTCGAAAATGAAATGTTTAAAATTTTACATAAGAAAATATATATACAAAAAGCTAGACAACACTTATGTTATTAGTAAACTATATCTTTTAACTGACATATTTCGCCTAATTTGGTCGTCATCAATCGTAAAACAGTTTTATGACGAATGTAATGATTTATAACTAAATAGTAGAGAGATACCCTCGTGAAATTCTAACCATTTGCATATTCCATATACTTAATATACGGTAATAGACCAATTGCTATTGCCATAGAGGGGAAACAGGTGCGTACAACTATACTACTGTTCATAATGTCTAAAACTTACACTGAATACGTTCTTGGTTCTTGTCTTGTGTGTAAATTATCGTAACTGCTGTTATAGGCTATTGCTGGAGGTGGGCCATTTTTTACTCTGTGGTGGTACGAGGAAGATTCAGAATGGTCCCTGAGATCCCAGTCCCTATAACTAAACAAACCAAATGTTAATACTTTATTTATAAACCTCAAAGAAGTTGCTTGACACATCAGCAGACAATCAAAGCACAGATTTTGTTGTCAAAATATCAAAAAACAAACAATGGACTACAAAACATTATAGCCGCTCTTATTTCATAGATTGAAGTATATCGAAACATAACTATAAAGCATAAGTATGTGCTCAACTAGTTGAGTGATACTGCTTTAATACATACACTAGCCAAAATTTAATTCAATCATAGCGGTATGAAGATGAGATATCTCGCCAATTTGAACTTTCATTTTGATAAGTATGTACCCCTTATTGTTTGTATGATTTATTTGTGCCTTAGACAATATAAAATGTAAATACAGCAGAATAGCACACGATTGGACTCATCAAAAGTAGAAAGCCAATGTTATTCGATTTGTACATGATCGTCTACATTTCAAAGATTCATTGAACTATGACGATTATTCAAAATATTCGACGCTTCATTTTGTTCTCAGTGACCACATCAAAAAAGCATATGGTTGAACATAGTTCTAGAACCTGTACATTTACTTAGACTGCGTTTTTTAACTGCCCGCGTCGCAAGTATATTGCATAAAATTTATTAAGTTTTTCCCCTAGGTATCATGAATATTATACCAATCACCAATTACGCTGTGTCAACTTTGTCGGCCAACCGCATTGTACCTTGTGTACTATGCAACGGATTTAAGTCGCGGGCATTCAAAAACGCAGCCTTAATAATGTCTTTCTATATCGTCATCTGTGCCATATATGAGAAGTACTTATCACGATCGGAAGTAAAATTGCAAATATAAGGTAGGATACTCACTCGTCTCTGTAATCTGATGAGTAGATGTGTTTAACGATCCTAAAAAAATAAGAATTGTCACAGCCTCAGTCACATTAATTGTGCGCTACGGCAGCCATACGGCGACCTTATCTTTCCAAAATCGATAAGAAAATCTACATTTTACCGCTCATTTCTATATTTTATGCTGCATATTTCACTCATTTCTTCATCGTCTCTTGCACGTTGAAGCACATCAGCTATTCTTCATCATATCTTACACTTTAAAACACATCGTCAATTCCTCATCACACCTTACACTTTAAAACACATCGTCAATTCCTTGATTTATCCTTTAAAACACATTAGACATTCATCATCATATCTTACACATTAAATACGCCAGCAATTACTCATCATATCTTACACTTTAAATACATTAGCAGTTCCTCATCATATCTTACACTTTAAATAAGCCAGCAATTACTCATCATATCCTACACTTTAGATACATTAGCAATTCCTCATCATATCTTACACATTAAATAAGCCAGCAATTACTCATCATATCTTACACTTTAAATACATTAGCCGTTCCTCATCATATCTTACACTTTAAATGCATCAGCGATTCCTCATCATATCGTACGCGTTTAAAAATCAGCAATTTCACATCATATTTGACACTTTAATAAAACAAATCAGCAATTTCACATCATATCTCACCCTTTGAAACACACCATCTATTCCTCATTATATCTTACACTTTAAATCACATCAACTATTCTTCATAATAGCTTACACGTTTTGACACATCATCAATTCCTCATCACATCTTCCTTTAAAACATAAGCAATCCCTCATCATATCTTACATTTGAAAGCACATTACTAATACATCATCGTATCTCACACTTTAAAACACTTAAGCGATTTTTCATAATATTTTACACACCATCAATTCCTAATCATATCTTACAATTTACAACACATTATCAATTCCTCATAATATCTCACACGTTAAAGCATATCATCAATTCGTAGTCATATCTCGCACTTTAAAACACAGCAGCGATTCCTCATCACATTTCACACGTTAAAGCACATTATCAATTTGAAGTCATATCTCACACGTTAAAGCACATTATCAATACCTAATCATATCTTACACTTTAAAGACGACCACTCAATATTTCCTTACTTGTTCTTTTTCTTCCTTTGCCAGCAACAAACACAAATAATAAGGAGAATCAAGACAAGCAAGACCAAAATCCCAACAGCTATGGCCACTCCCGTTATGATCTTCTGTTCTTCAGTCATATTGTCGAATATTGTACCTGATGACGTATCAATACCAGTGTCCGACGTCTCTACAATTGAAAAGTAGCATCGAATCTTCTGTCAAAGTACATTCACATACAATTTCATATTGTTATAAATGCTGGTTTAATGACATCAATACATACATGTAAATAAATTACTATCTTCTTACTATATGCAGTTTCAAACGTAGCCATTGCTGTTTTTATAATCCTAATTAAGAATCTCTATTTAAAACTTAATTTTGATAATCCAAGTTATGTTAAAGTTGAGTTCAATTTAATATTTAGCCCTCTTATATGTGTTTCAGGGAGAAGATTATGTATAGTGAAAAGTAAAGAAAAGTATTCTGTGTGTACACACAACTCTATAGTTCAAATGTAAGTAATTAAAACCATGATTCAAAGACTCTAAAAAATTAAATAGTGAAGCCCTTTGAGAACTTCCATTCAAAGAAGTACCAAGAAGAAGGAATCGTTGAGGTTGGAGAAATAAAATGAAATCAGATGAATCTGAAAACTATATATTAGTTTTCATTTGCAGCATTGATGTTCCACATTCTCAAGAAACTTAGAAGAGGTCGAGTCACAAAATGAATATTTCGGTATTGACGTACGTTGAATACTGATTGAGGGCGTATATCATGAGGTAAAGAATAATGTAGCTCTATGTAAGCAAAGAATGTATAAATATAAGTTATGATGGTTTATTCATTCTAAATCTGAAATGATTCATAAATCCCCTGACGTTTTAAGATTCAAAGCATATTTGGAGTCTGCGCTGTTTAAACATTTGTTTTATAAAAACACAAAGGTCATATAGGGCGATGGAAGGTCATTCATATGCCCTGTCAAAATATATTGCAAGGTTTTCTTAAACAAGTTATTTTGTTGAAGGCCTAGAATTTTGAATTTACAACTATTTATAGTTTACTGTTATTAGTTATTTTCGCGAAATAGTAATAACTAGCTTATCAGAGTGTGCTTATTATGTCTTTTAATCCCGAGCAAATCAGTTTTCTTATTAACTACCACCCATCCCTAAAGTGTATTCCATGCTGAATTCAAAAGATATTTGCAAACATACCTAGGAAAAAACTTTTTTCCATGTTTACATGTTACCATAAAAGAAAATATGGATGATTATCTAAAATGAAACTATATAACTAAGCACGCACACAAACTACAATGCAAACAGCACTAAGTATATAAGCAACTACAGTTTGAATCCCAATATAATTTTGGATTGCTTGATACTACCAAGTGCAAATACAACCTTAATTCAAAAAAATGATATGGCTCTGAAAATTACAAGAGATCAAACACATCTTTACTTTACACCATACTAACTATAAACAAAATTGACTTGTCTATGAAACAGATTTTGTATTTTTGTAACTTGAACTGCACTGTGATCTATTGGTTGCATTTTAGTAGAAAAATCCAATCCAAATTAAACACTTGAGATTCTAACTTTAAGCATGCAGAAGAGCTGCAAATCAGATGGACATAGGCGGGAGACTTGAAAAACACCATGCCGAAAATGCCACAAAAGGAAGATCCCCGCGTTACCCACGTTTTGGTTCACAAGTAGGAATAGGACTATCCCAATCTGTAACACCAGCTTTGTTGATACATGTCAATCGTGATGCCCCGGAGAGTGTATGTGTTGAGTAACAGTTGATATTAACAACGGTTCCCTCAGTTCTCACATACGTGTCCAGTTGTAACCAATGGACGTTGTTTAATGTAATCACAGTGGGTGGACCTGTGAAACTTGAAAGGGCCGGGCATTGCGCTAAGGTACAGAAAAATTGCATTAAGTTTTAATCGCAAATGCTAATATTTAGTAATCATATAAGCCTATGTGTTAAAAGCAGTTTCGGTTGTTAACATCTAAACGTACTAGACCTGAAAATGAAATTGAAGTCATTAATAAGGCGGCTACAATGATGATTTCAACCATTAAAATGATAGCAAATTGTGATTCATCAATTGTGTTATGCGTTCTCATTTCACCAGTTTCTCATGATCAGTTGTGACTCGAGACTATGATTTTGGTGTGCGCCAACTGCCCTATATACATTTTTAAGACCAAGCAAAAAGCATTCGTGTCTAACTACTACAGCTGATCATCTGCTACTTGTTGATGTCCATTGTTGACTATGATCTACTGTTCGTTTTAAGCAAAATCAGTAGCATACGACTAATAGGGATGCCTTTATTTCTCAAAAATAAGCCAAAATTATCAAGCCGTGCTGAAATTTGCTTCTAAGCCATGTAATGCTCCTGTGCATCCTGCAATTACAGCATCTAAAGCCAGTTCTGAAGCGTATGGCTTACGGGAGGTACAGCTAGGCAAAGGTGATGTATCCCATTGTGCTGATGTCCCAACTTGCACACATTGCAAGGACGAGGCTCCACTCAGTGTATGTGTTGAGTCACAATATGCTGTTACTCTGGTCCCTACGGTCCTTTCATAGGTGGTTAACTGGACGTAACCGATCGTTGTCTCCGTCAGGATAGTTGGAGGTTCCGTAAAGGGCGTCAATGAGGGGCATTGAGCTATGTAATAAAAAATCTACATGAAAAACATTAAAAAAATATAGAAACTGCCCCTACGGTCCTTTCAAAGGTGGTTAACTATATAATATAATAACCGATCGTCTACATCAGGATAGCTGAGATGCCGTTAAAGATTTCAATGGAGGGCATTGAGTTGTGTGATAAAAAGTTTGAAAAAATATTAAAAATACATAGTTCTTTTGTGTATTAACATCTATAGGGCCATCTGTACTGCTAAATTCCTGTCCTCGTTACCTGAATTATTGTCCTCGAGGGATTAAAGTTATATTTTGTATGGGTAAAACATTCTGATTCTGTACTAGGCTAGTATGTTAAGACCAATGAGATATAATTCTGTACATCCATACACCAGGACAATTTCTACACGGGAAATGTGTCTCCTTTGGACTGCCTGATAACTTTTACTGGTTACGGGAACATACAGTATATCGGACCAATCAGTGCATTTAGTAAACTTTCCTTTTAAAAACGCCTATATAGTAGCCTGGCCAGAACAAGTCATGCCTCTCTATTTTCTCAATAACTTTCTCAATTTTGAATATTTTTTCATGAGATTTTCACAGAATAAACTTTCAAGAATTCCTATTATACAATTTCTTTTATATGGTAAATGCCTCATGAATTTCATTGTTACAACCTTTTAAAAAATAATGTCATATTCTGTTGATGGGTCATTTTTGTCGCCATTTGAAAGCATCTTTTATCTCCATCAAGTATGACTATAGGCGAGTAGTAATGCCTTTTATGGGACGAGCAGTAATAGAGGCTTGAGATCATGAGGTCTTGAAATAGTATGGTGGATTTAGAACGCTAAAAAAGATAAATGATCCCCTATCAAAGACTGCAATCAAATTTGTAGACCACATTAGGACAAAACGTAATTTAGAATTTTCGTATCTTTTTAGAAAAAATGGCGACAAAAATGACCCATCAACAGAATATGACATTATTTTTTAAAAGGTTGTAACAATGTAATTAATAAGGCATTTACCATATAAAAACTTTGTATGTTAGGAATTCTTTAAAGTTTATTCTGTGAAAATTTCATGAAAAAATATTCAAAATTGAGAAAGTTATTGAGAAAATAGAGAGGCATGACTTGTTCTGGCCAGGCTACTATATAGCATTATTTTTGCTTCTTTATTCAATTAAAATCAAATATATTCGATATATGAAATATTAATATTCGATTTTTCCATTCGGTAAAAACGTTTATATGTTTGTTACAGCAAATTAAGTTTTCAAAACAGCCAATCACTTAATACTACTATGTGCATTAAATTACATATTCCGTTCGCTAAATGATATGTTTTTTGCGTAATTGTTCTCAGACTGGTATTCCTTAAGGGTAACACATTATATGCACAATATTGAATTTCTATTTGAACCCTACCGAAATAAGTTACCAAATGGTTTATTTTACTATGACATAGTTAATGCATTTTACCGAAAGCTAATTTGCTATTTACCGAATGCAATAAAGTAATATTCGATAACTTTCGTTGTTGTTCGATATTTTGCCACGTGACCTCGAGATTTGCAAAATGGCCGCGCAGTTATTCTACATCGTTCAAATATATCATGTGACTGAAAGTCTCATAAAGTATCGAGAAATAACGAAATTGATCGAATGTGACATTCGGTATTTACCGAATATAAAGAATTTAAATACCGAATGTACAAATAATTAATTGAATTATACGTGCGTTAAGGAAAACAAATCGATTCACTGCATCACACAAATACATGTACACTGTGTATAAATACCAAATGTGAATGCTAACACAAAGAACATGTGAAACTATATAGCGAATATAAATTGTATAGATTATTATATTCGATAAAATAAAAAACATTCGATAGATTGGGTAAAGGTTTGGTAAATTGTTTGTTTTATTTGGTATTTATGGAATATTTAATGTACCGAATAAAGGAGCAGTTTAAACGCCATATATGTACCAGTTTTTCTAAAGGTAAAATCAAATGAATGGTGTATATTTAAAACGCATAAAAACTCAAGTTACTTGTTTATCGGAACAAGTTTTTCTTAAAACCATTTAATCATGATGTACCTTCAAATTATGACATTTTTATATTCAATACCTGAAAACAATAAGACCTCAAGATTAGCTTAAACCCGTCCAAAACAATTTCTAACATGGCATTGACATGGAAAAATGTCACCATCATTTGCTACAGACGCCAACCGCCGATCGCCAACCGCCGTCACAAAAGCAGAGACAATGACAATATGCCACCACCTTTTGTTGGTGACATAAAAATCAGTATGTTAAGATATACTGGCCAATCTCATGGCAATAAATATGATTTAATGGTCACTGCCAAGGATCTGCATTCCCGCTGAATCTTAGGTTGCTATCAAGTAAACTACTAATAAGACAATGTGTGCCCCTTGGATTAATCTAAGTTTACTTTCTTCTAGGTAAGGCTATTTTAAAGCATGCTTAATATTGCTTATGCATCTAAATGTCTCGAAGGTGAAAACCAAATATGATTATTAAAATCATATTTAATCTAAGGAGCACATTACGAGTATATACAGTATAAGTCAGTTTATTAGTCAATTTTCCAAGGGTCTTTTTGTGAGCTCGAGTGCAATTTATACTCTGACAAACATGCTAAAAGGTATACTCATAACCGATTATCTATCTTCAAAATGTTATTTTCAAACAAAATAAAAAGTTTATGTCTCTAAAATGGGACTCAAGAGACGGAATTCACATACGCAGCATCCTCGAGAGATTGGCCAAGACCCGGGTCAAGGGTGGTTGTGATTTTTTCAAGGTTGTTATTGTTTATAAATTCAAATACCATAGCTGGAGCTTAATGCATGAAATCATACGAAAAGGTTATTCACCGACGAGGAACTTTTCTAACTTGTTCCATTATTTGAAGTTCAATTTTCCTTTCAACTTTGTATAAAGCAGGTATTCTGAATTGAAACAGTTCCTCCCAACTCCACAGGTAGCTAGGCATAAGAGTTAAGTCCAATGTTTAGCTATTCTCAAGGAGAACAAGTGGTGTTAACGAGAATAAATAATTATATGTATTGAAGCTCTAAAAGTTCCTCTTTTACTTATTCCCAAAATTAATCAAATTCTACAGGGTGACGCAAGATGCAAATTTCTTATTTGGAATAAGTTTTTCAATTTCGATGGAAAAGCGATTCTGACTTTGTCATTGTTTGCGTAATTTCTACATAGCTTCCAAACGAATCGTATTTTAATTGAAAAGTTCATTCCAAAATTTATAAGCTTCATCTTTGTGTCACTCTGTTCAAGAAATCGTAATTAACTTGTCATTGTCATGATGGTCTACTATATTAGCATGCATATTAAAGAGTGTTTTTACTTCTTTTCATAAACAATCAATAAGTAATTTTTATAGCTGTGGACAAGAGTAATGTGGCTAGTTCTAGTCTCTATAGACTGTGGACTACTCTGATAATTGTAACTTCTGCTTTTCATGGAAGGTCACACATTCCAATATATTTCAAACAGTCTGTATGATTATGCTGGGCACTTTCTGAGTAGTTGGACTTCATGTAGGGGTGGCAGACAGCCCTCAGGCCAATTTATACCCCCACCCCAAGAAAACCTTGGGGGTACTTTAATACCACCTAATAATAAAAAGAATACTAATGCATGTCATACATTCATAGTTTTTTAGTAGGCAGGGCATACCATGGTTAGTCAGTGCCAGAAATTTCCTATCTCTAACTTATATGGTTACCATGGAAACAGTATTTATATCTCAAAATCTTCCCATTTTGACCTCCTCCCAAATATGTCCCTTCGCTCCCAAAGTGAAATATTTGCAAATTTGTTTGGAATTTGTGGCCGCCACTTTGTCAAAAGTTGTATAAATATGTATATATTCACACTAAAGCACTAAAAAGTTGATATAATGCTCCAATAAATTAATAATATTTATCAAATATAGTCATACACAACTACTTTTAGGGGAAAGTGGGCGTGGCACTTTTTGGTACTTGCGTAATCGTTGCAGCATTAAGCGAAAAATACACATTAGACTAACAACAATTGACATTTAATTATCATCTACTAACATTGTGTAACATTGTTATATGTTCATTATCATTATTAGATACTTAAGATATGTTATGTACGTGTTATCATGAACCTTCCTTTTATCCCTATACCATAGAAGGTGGGCATAACGAATGGTGTC